AGAGCAGAATTTAAATTTTGTGATATAGTTTTCTACCTGAGCTCATATATTATTAAGGCAAAGTACATTCAGAAGTTTGTAAATTAGTAAGAGATTAAATTAGCAAAATGTTTCATATTTCAGAGACCAAATTTATACTGCACAGTAAAAGAAATGAAACCAGAGAGACAAATGAACAAGAAGAATTTGAAATCACTGAAGATTTGAAAAAACAAGAAACTGAAACTTGACAATTCATTGAATTCTAGATGTGATCAAGCTTAACATCTAGGAAATCACTGAACTCACTGTTTCTGAAATTTGTTAGTTTCTCATGAATTTGACTATATATCCATCCTCTTATTTCCCTACAAATCATTGAATTTTTGAAAACAAAAAAAATTTAAAGTGAAATGCAGATTTTAAATTCCTATTGTTATATTGTTTTTCATAAAATATGCATTTATATGTAGTTGTTTGCATATGTCTATTTTTTACGATGTAATGTAATACAACCAGTTATATTCATCCAAGGACCAATCATTCCTTTTATCAGTATTCTCTACATCCCAAAATCAAGAACTGATTTTTAGGATGCGGAAAGAACGCAAAAGAGAAGAGCTTCTTCTTCTATGAATGAGTCTATCTTTATAACATTCCATAAAGAATACATACATTCAGTTAGTTATAGCTCAAGTATAGTTCAAATATTTATATGTTCAAAGTAGCCATAGCTAATCAAATATGTGCATCTTGGGAGAAAATGTAAACAGATTTTATTACGATTTTAGAGCTGAGAAATTTGAAGAAGTGCAAAAATGTTTATTTTGAATCAACACTTTAGTCAAGGATATAAAAAGCCAATTTGCACAACAGTATACAGACTGAAATTTATTTATTTATTTATTCAATTTTATGGCCACCAATTTCAACAATTGATTCTGTGTGGTAAACAAAATGATAAGAAATACAATTGCAATAACACAAACTAAAAAAAAACACCACAGGAGCTGAGAAAATATATTACATAATTACCAATATAACTATGAAATGGGTCCTTGAATACATTTGGATCCCTAGACCCTAGATCATGGGTGTCAAACTCACCATGTCACATTGCTGTCATATGATGTTTCATGACATTTTTTTCCCTTCATGCAGCTGGGGTGGGTGTGGCCTATGTGTGATGCATCCGGCCCATGGGCTCCCAGTTTGACACCCCTGCTCTAGATAGAGTCTAGATAGTCCTTAGGGATTTACAAATGGCAAGCATGGTCAGGTCTTTCCTGATCTCCAGAGGGAGAATGCTCCATAGTGGGGCACAATGGTAGAGAAGACACATCTTGTAGGTCCTACTAATTGGCATTCCTTAGTCGACACAATGTGAAGCATGCCCAACCTGCATGACCAGATCAGATGGGTAGAAACAATTGATGAGAGATGATCCCTAAGTAATTCATTAAAAGCCAGGAAGAACTTTTAAAATGTCAACCAGCATCCTGAACTGCATCCAGAAGCACCTTGGCAACCAAATGCAACTCACATAATACTGGTGTTACATGTGCCAAATAGCCAATATTTAAAATCATCAAATATCTTCAGAAGGCTATTTAAATGTAGAATCTGAAGAGGAAAATGAAATTTACCCTTGGTTGATTCTCATTTTGACTGCTTAGAAAGACTAGAAAATGCTATTCAGTATAAGCCCAAAAGTTCTTTCTTGAGATCTTGAGAACAGTTACTGCAGGGGAAAAATAATTGTTATCTCCTCCAGATGTTTTGGGTAATTATTTTCCCAACTGGGCCATTGACCATCTGGCTAGCCTCATGGCAGTTATAGTTCAAGACATCTGGAGAGGATCACAATACCTGCTCCTGAAATAATGTATATTATTTCTGTTCCTTCAACATGAAGAACAACTATAAAATTATTGTTTGTTTTAATTCAAAAGTTGATACTTTTCTACATTTCCACAGAATCTTTGAGTACATGAAAACTGCAATCATATAATAAAATGTTCCATTTTGTATCACCTAAACTAACATATACTTGATGAACTCAGTTCACTAATAAATGGAGTCATTATGTTTATTTTCCTCAACCATTTTAAATATGTATATAATTTTAAGAATACACCGCTCTTACAGTCTGGGATATGTCAAGATTCACATAAAGCCAAATAAAATATCCTCCACCCTGCTTCATAATCTGACAAGTCCAAAACACATCCTACACGCAGCAGCTGAATGCCTTGAATTCATCACAGTTCTTCAGTAAGTTGAAAAATGGGTTCATCAATCTCAGTTTTAGAGTATTCTTGATAAGACTTTTTAAAACATTCCAAATACCAGAATGCAGAATATAACACATAGGCTACAACTAAAAACTTGTTTGGAAGTTTTATAAATACTATGATAAATAAAAATAAATAAATAAAATAAAAATAATTGTTTGCTTAATTACAAAAGCATTACATTTTTATTGTACCATATTGAATTATACAGCATTTTAAGTAGAATATATTTGATGGTATGGAAGTTGTGGGGGCTTAAATAAAATGCAGCTTAATACATTTTAGTTTCTTCAGCAAAATTATGTTGACTTTATTTCATATTGATTTAGGGTTTAAATTTCATTTTTTCCAGAAGAAAAGCTTTTTATTTAAGAACAGAGCCTCTGCTTTAACGATTTAAAGTCTATCTAGAACAATTTCCTATTTCCGCAATGGCTGTTTCAGATACCCAGAGAAATCATGTTTGTTGCTTCAATTGCTTCAAGTATTCAGCTGATATCCAGAGGCCCTGTATTTTTGTTCTTGATAGCAGAATAAAGTTATCATGACAAGCTGTTTTGATTGTTTCTTGATTCATTCATTCATTTCACTTCCCCTTTAAAATCCTTCACATCAGGGTAAGGAACATAATGCCTGATAAAATATGCCATTTTCCCCAGTTGGATGTTTTTTATAGTATGTGCTGGACAGGGAGTAATATCTCTTACTTAGTAAGTAAATTCACTATTCACATTCACTATTCAGGTTAATTTGATGCTCATTATGTTATATTATATAATATATAACATCTACATAAATGACCTCTGTGATCATATTAAGAGCAAATGCTTTCTCTTTGCTGATGATGTTAAGCTATTCAACACCACAGACAATACTGCTACCCTTCAAAAAGACTTTGACTATGTATCAGAATGGTCCAACAAATGGCAACTTCAAATCTCAACAAATAAATGCTCTGTCTTACATATTGGCAAGAAAATCAGAAAATAAAATACAAGCTGAACAGTCAAGACCTGGTTGATGATCCAAACTCTATCAAGGACCTTGGAGTACTCATCTCTAAATGACCTAAGTGCTAGAGCCCACTGTAACTACATAGCCAAAAAGGCATTAAGAATTGTTAACCTAATCCTACATAGCTTTTTCTCTGGTAATATTACACTAATAACTAGAGCATACAAAACATTTGCTAGACCAATACTTGAATACAGCTCATCAGTCTGGAACCCACATTATGTATCTGATATTAACACAGTTGAGAAAGTCCAGAAATATTTCACAAAAAGAGTTGTCCACTCCTCTACTCATTGCAGAATACCTTGAAATTCTAGACCTAGAAAACCTAGAACTATGCCGCCTTTGATCCGATCTAAGTATAGTATATAAAATCATACGTTGTAATGTCCTACCTGCATTTCAGCTTCAACCATAATAATACAAGAGCACACAATAGATACAAATTCAAGGTTAACCACACCAAACTTGATTGCAGGAAATACGACTTCAGCAACAGAGTGGTCAATGTCTGGAATATTCTACCTGACTCTGTGGTTTCTTCCCCAAACCCCAAAATCTTTCACTTTAGACTGTCTACTATTGACCTCACCCCTTTCCAAGAGGTCTGTAGGGGGGCGTTCATAAGCTCACCAACGTGTCTACCATCCCTGTCCTATTGTTTCTTTTTATTTTTCTTATATGTATCCATTTCATGTATTCATAACTATGTATATACTTAGACCTATTATCTTGTAAGCAATTGACAAATCAAATAAATAAAAATAAATATATATTACCACACTGTCACTTAATATTGTCAATTAGAAAACACTAAATTTACCCATTTTCCCATCCGAGAATAAATCAGCGCCATAACCCCCACTTTCTTGGCCTTTTCTTAACCATATATCCCCATTGTTATATTTTCTTGAATTGATTTGTTCTTTTTTTTTTTTACTTTTTCACTTGTCCTTCCGTCCTTGGCTAGTTTGCTATGTTATTCCACTGGCACTTTGAGGAAAAATTCCAGGTTCCCTTCACCATGCCTTCTTCATTCTTTTTAATTACTTCCAGTTTCCCATGCAATTTTACTTCTCATCTTTTTTCTTCTTTTTCAAACTAAGTTAATATCCCCAGGTTCTAGCTGGATTCACTTCCACATATTTTCATCCTAAAGTTTCTATGTACTTCTTTAAACCTTGGAATTAGGACTATTACATTTGGGATTCAAAACTCCAGATGACCATGATATAGCAGCATAATGGTAAGCAAACTCAGAAATGTTGCTGCCTTCTTATCATATTCTGCTCAATTCAGCTCAAATCTGGAAGCCCCACTGAAATCCATCAAAATTTCTCTTTCCTACAGGTGCTGTTTTGACTACATCACTTAGTTTACCAAAGGATTGGCATTTAGAGAATCATTTCATTATTACTATATCAATTACATGAGTGCCCAAAAGCATCTTTGGTAACCTTATAATATATTTGAGGTTTAATTCAAACACTGTATTTTAGTGCTTGGTCCTTCCCGTATATTTGATTTTTCTTTCATGGTTGAAATTGCATTTAAATTGTATTTTATGACTGTACCCATTGTAGAGTTGGGTGCTCTTAAACATGTTTAAATAAAATAAAAAATAAGCTTGGACATTGTAACATTTATCTACATATTTTCTGGAGTGTGGCATTGTTTGGCTTTCTTGTTAAATTTCAAATGTATCTTACTTACAAAAGTGATATTTTCAAATGATGGTTGTATTATTTGTAGAAGGAGCAACTGTATCACTGGATCTAAAGCTGCAATGCAAAGAAAGGGAAAAATATCCAATTTTATTTTGTATAAAGCTGGAGGGAGAAATAGAACTGTGTATTGTCAAAATAATATGACTACTGAAGTAAAATAAATGTTAACAGCGGGGATATCATTAGAGTTGTTCTGGATGGAATTTCACTTTTTTTTTTGTTCTGTTTATATTTTCCCTATGCACCTAAACAGGAAATTTCTCAATTTTATATTGAAAACACTTCTTTGATCTTACATCAGGTTCTATATTGAAAAAAGAATTAAACAGTTAAGTTAATCAAAGGTTTCCAATAGAAGAGACTATATGTAGATCAGGGTTGAACTGTGGAGTCCTTGGTGGTATCTAAAGCTTGGTTGTTTTTTTGCAGATGTTTCATTACCAGACTAGGTAAAATCATTGGTGCCAGTGAGTTTGAGGTTTGTTCTCTATTTATATACAGTACTTTGTTTAATTCTTATAATTTCATTCCAGCCTCGCCTACTTTAAAAAGCTTCTTGAAAGGGTAAAATAAAATACAACCATGTATGGGCTTTTGAAGTCCAATGTTAATAAAATCAAAAGACCCCATTGCTAGGGGGAACCATCTCTTGAGTTTCTTTTTAAATCCTAAATGTGGTGACCACATTTTACTTGCAAAAGTCTACATCACTGTAGCCCAGATCTGCCAGACCTAATTACCAGGTTAATATATGCAAAGAATCAGCATTATTAGCAGCAATAGCACTTAGACTTATATACCACTTGACAGTGTTTTACAGCCCTCTCTAAGCGGTTTACAGAGTCAGCATACCAATTTGGGTCCTCATTTTACCCACCTCAGAAGGACGGAAGGCTGAGTCAATCTTCAGCCTGATGAGATTTAAACTGTCAAATTGGAGGCTGGCAGCAGGCAGCAGAAGTAGCTTTAACACTTTAACCACTGTGCCACCATTTTTTTCACTCTGTTTGTTTATATGTGTATATGTGTGCAGAATTAAGCCAATGTTGATTCTTGGTGACTGTCTGGGCAAGTCTCTGAAGAGGTTTTTTTGCAAGGTTTTTGGTAATGGTTTGCCATTGCCCACTTCTTGGGGCTGAGAGAAAGTCTGGCCCAAGATAGATCTAGCAGAATCATGTTCCAGTATGATGCCTTAATCACTATTACAAAGCTTATATATTCTGTCTCTAACCCTATTTAGACTAAAACTATACTGGGATTCTGTGCTGCTCTATCAGTTCTGGAAGATTATTCTGTTTCGTACTCCTCTAGACATTGAAATTTCTTCCAATTTCTAATCTGACTTTCCTTTTATGATTTGTTCTTATCTATATTATTTATTCGTACTTTTTTGAATCACTCTTATCTACTTAGGTTTCTAAAACAAAAATGCTGAAGATCAGCCAAAGTTATTTCATATATTGATGAATTGTGAACACAACATTTTTTTTTATCATGACAACCCACATAGTTCCATACCTCAGTGACAGCCCATAAATCCCCTATAGGCACCTCCAAGAACTGAGAGACCCATAAAAATGTACATACAAAATAGTTAAATATGCAACATTTTAGATATATTGAAAGAGCATTCTTTTTTTATTATCATCATGTATTGTTATTCTCTACTTTCTTTCAGACTAATGACCTGAAATGTAAACTTACACAGCTTATATTGCATCAATCTGATGCAAATATTTGAATAGTGCTGCATTTGAAAGACAAATTGTTTTTTTTTTCTTTTCAATGAATGCTACTTATATCATTTTTCTTTTTTCCTGATTTCATCATAGAAATGATGCAGTCAAAATATAAACTAAATGATAAAAAAATGCATTGGAATTTCACAAGGGCAGAACAAGAAGCAATGGATGAAAACAAGAGAAGAGAAGCAACTTAGAATTAAGGAGAAACTTCCTAATGCTGAGAAAAATTAACCTGTGTAACAGCTTGCCATCAAAGGTTGTGAGTGCTTCATCACTGGAAGTATTTAAGACTGGACAATCGCTTCTCTGAAATTGTTATAGGGTCTCCTGCTTGAGCAGGGGGTTGAACTAAAAGGTCTCCTTCCAGCTCTGTTCTAATTGAACAAGTCTACGCTTTTTATATATATGTTGCCCTGTTGAGTATATGTACATCAGTACCGGCCCAAGACATTTTACAGTCTGAGATGAATCCCCTTTCCATTCCACATACAAATAGCTGTGGTTGGGCATTTGTTCAACACTGACCAAGAAACAATCTTATATTTCATTTGGAGCCATCAAGTGAGTTACAGGACAGTGTTGACTGCATGATACACAGCTTTATTCTTCAGCATAATATTGTTACTTACAACCTACCATCTAATTCCTAGAATTTGCAGCAAATGGAGTGATGCAAAAATGTAATGCTTCAAGACTGGGGTCTACCAGAGAGCTTTTCCCCATAAATTCTGAATAAAATCTAATAGGTTCTGGAATTCTCTGCTGTCTCACATAGAACTCTCGGGCAAAAAGCAAAAAGATATTTGGCTGCTTCCTTTCCTTGTAGTTGCTGTACAATTATTCTAATCATTACTATGATTAACTTGCTAAGCTAGATGCCTGAATCCTGTTTTTATTTTCTTGCATGTATGATGTATTTTTCCTTGCAAATGAACAGCACAGCCAGATTCTGACAGTACAGGTTGCTGTCATTATGTTGTGTCTCTTGCATTTGTGAAATGATGTCCGTTTCTAGTAAATCCACCCTGCTCTTAGAAAAGCCACCAATTTTGATGAAGAGAATTCAAAAGAGCATGAAAAAGAGAAGGAAGAATACAGTTTCCTTGCAGCATAGGTCTCGAAGATCAATATTCTGCCCTGTCTCTTTTTTCTCAATCCCAAGCAAAACTCCTTCTCTCAAAGTCCTGCTTTCAGGAAGTATTTAATAAACTAAATAGGTCTTTACTGACCATTGACAACCATGCTAGATGGCAAAACCTAGAAATATTTCTTTGCTAGAAATTGACTTTCAAAATCAGTGCCTACAAGCTGGAAAAGAAAAAAGAAAAAGAGCTAAGAGTTTTGATAGTTTGCCTTAGTCATTTATTATTTTCATCTTATTAAGTGTTTGTATCTATGCAATATGGAAACAGAACATCTAAATAAACTGTTATGCCTGTTTATGAAAATCTTCGATATTTCATTGTTCACTTTTTTCTTCAAAATTTGGCTTCCTTCTTCAATGCCAGTTTGCTGCACTAGCAACTACAAATCAATGTATTGATGCTATGGCAACCACACTGAAAGCAAAATTACCTCTTAAATGAGCAATTGCTTAAAACCTTTTTTTTTTCCAGATTCATTTCCTATAAATGTGCTGAATTTTTTGCTATATTTTTCAACTGGTTATAAAAACCAGCTGTTTGTGGTTAGGTTAGGTTAGGTTAGGTTAGGTTAGGTTAGGTTGGGTTGGGTTGGGTTGGGTTGGGTTGGGTTGGGTTAGGTTAGGTTAGGTTAGGTCTAATGAGCAGTGTTTCTATAAACACTTTTGAATTTCACGGTAACTGAAATATATAACTTTAATAAAACAAACTGAACGTGCAATCTTTCATATAATGCAGTTTTCCAGGTATTTTTTGTTACAAAAGGAATTAAAAATACTAGGATTTGGAATAAAAGTTTATAATATTGTGATTCACATAATAATGCTATAAATCACTCTATCACAACATACGCTGAACATATAGGTGGGATATCTTATGAATAAAATATGAAGAAAAAAACTCTGCTAACTGTAATATGTACAGTTAAATGGAAAATATATGCAGTATATATTCTAAGAATTATCAGACAGTTTTGTGTTAGACAGCTTGATATTTTTTTTCTGCAGTAAGAACATTTTATTTCCTGGGGAGTAGCTATTTAGGAGTTTTGTATTTTTCTACAATAAAAAAAAGGTGAAAAAGCCATCTGAGTACATATATTATTTCACAGTTGTTCTTTTAAAAAAATCTATCTTCTAGGTTCATCTGTCATAAAAGTTATGTCATTTCCCATTTATATTGTCAACTTTTAAAATAAGTTTTCCTGATTTCCCCTCTTCATTTAATTTTATTCCTGTAGCAGTTACTCAACTTCTAGGTTGCTAAAATAGTTTTAAAGGTTTCATTTTGTAAGGAGTCAATGTACAGAGAACAACTGTAGGTCAGCAGCAAAATGTGTACTTGATAACTTGAAAAAATAACATCACTGTAACATTTCTACTTGATGTTCTTTCAGTGAGGCTTGGATCAATCACTGTCACTCAGCCACTAGTCAAATTCTTATGTATGGTGATTTAAGGAAGAGAATTCCATGAAATCCCTTGTTGAGTTTAAACTGATTTGAATCTTACCATCTGCATTTTAGTCACCCCTATTTTTTTTTCTTATTAGCCAAGCAATCTGCCATGTTTTAAAAATACATCTGTGTGAAATCAAGGATAAAGAAAAATAGAATAAGAGGAACACTTCTTTGAAAGATAATCCTTGAGATACTGGTGGGCCAATTTACTCCTTTTTTAACGGACACTTTCAAATGGACATTCCTGAAAAATATAGTACATAGTTATGGCAGAAATGGCGAAATAGACCATTTCCAGGAGAAATTGCACTGAGAAACACATTACTAAGGAACCCTAAAGCTATTTCCTGGCATCATCTAATCGTGTATGTGTTTCTCAAGTGATCCTCCATCTGAATCCAGTGTAGTTTGGATGTTTCCACAAAAGTCTTTTACATTATTATTTTTCCACCATTTGTTGGAAAAGAAATTGAAATGAAACTTCCATGTAGGAAAAAGAAGGATTGCATCATCTTAATGAAATGATGCAGAGAAAATTCCAATTTAAGAGGAGTATGCTCCTTCCTTCCTTTCCAGGAATAATTGACAATATTTACTTTGAATTCTACATATTTTAAGAAATATAATAAAAGTTGGATTAATTTTATTGATTTCTCCTCTGTGAATTATCCCATTATAGTTTTATAAGTAAAGCAACCACATTAAGACTTCAAACAATGATAGATGCAGATCTATCCTTAATAACAATGAAATAGTTTTAAAATGTTAGCAATCAGTGTGTAGTTGGATTTCTTCACAAGTCTTTCTAACATTTTTCTGGAAATTTGAAGGATTTTGTAGTGAACATTTCAGTATTCTTGAAACAAGAAAGGGAGACAAAGTTAACAATTGCTATTTCCGTTCAAAGAAGAGTTGGCTTGGCTTGGTTTTGTGTTGCTATGAACTTGGGCCTTCATATATTCCTCTCCATAGTCGAGAAACTCATTTTAGCTGCCCTCATAGGAGAGTTCAGAGATTTATCAACACAGCTCTACCTAAACAGGAGCTAGTGACTTATGATTTGAATGGGGGTGCATGTGGGAGTCCTGACACTTACAACAATAGTTTAAGAAAATAACTGCAGAAAACTGCTTCCAATTCAATCAGTAAATGGAACTAAGAGGAGAATGTAATCATCTGCATTCAATTTTAGCGAAGACCCCAAAGATTAACAAGCAATACAAATGATATAAAATTTTATTATTGTAAGGCTCAAAGCACCTAGGATTACAGCCATTATAAAACAACTACTTGAAAGTATGAAACCAACTAACATTACTTCATTTCTAGATTTAATGGCTTTATGAGTTGCATTTTTGAATGCAGAAGATGCATGGATTTGGAATGCATGGCCAAAACATGCTTTTTAATCTTTTAGTAATGCCCTAGAGAATTGATGTTCAAAAATCACTGTTCACAATTAAAAAGACACATTCCACCATTGCTCTACTACTAAGCAATGCATATGCCATTGCTTAGTAGTAGAGTGTGCATTGTGCATACAGTTAATTGTGGTTTAATCTTCAAATATTTCCAATTAGAACAATCTAAGCAGTATTATGGTTAAAGTTGCCAAGTTTGAGAAACAAATATTTAAAGTAATGGTCAAAACTTCTTCTGTTCCTTTTTCAAGAAGTGGGTGCATTCAAAGTATTTGGCAATATTTGAAATAATCAAACAAAATCTTATTCTTTTGTTTGAAAACATTAATATTGTGTTAAAACATAAACCCAAGAGTTTTTTCAATGATCTCATTATTGTTTATGATTCCTAACTTCAATGGACAAAAAAAAATGAGAAAAATTATATTAACATGCAATGGGAAGATAATTCTTTATTCTTTCCCAAACTCCTCCAAAAATAGTAGATTGGTGCTTGGTTTGGAGAATGACTGCCAGATGAAGTATCAAGAAATTATCTACCAAGTGTTATTTCATCAGAATGCTGTAAGCAGCTCTCTACTTACTATAAGCATTTTCCACCCTTACCCAATGATATCAGACATTGAGTAATGCTGCACCTGGTCCATTATAATGGAGAAAAGTCAAATAATACTGTGCTCATATCAGTAAAAGTTGGTAGGAAAATAATTCCTGCAACATGGAAAAGAATGTAAAATTGTACTTTTACAATGGCATTATCATTTGTGATAAACAATGATACTATTGGCAGCATGTTGGATGGAATACTACTTCACTTGGATATAACTCTAGGGATGACCCTAAGGGTCAGTTAATCCTAATTCAATCTTGGATCTTCTACATGAGCAATATGTACCCTACCCATCGTTCTATTTCTGTCTTCACTATTGAAGAAAGATCAAGTTCAGATATAAAATAAAATATATAATAATGTATATTATTATAATGTAACAAGATTAAATGACTTCAAGAGAAAAAGAAATGTGTTCTACATACATAGTGGTAGATGCAAACAAAAAATATATGTACTGGGAATATGTATTATTAGGCTTGAGTAAATGATTTGAACGAGATGCCTAACAGACACAGAAACACACAGAAAAAGCTTCACTTCAAATCATCTTTTTTCCAGATATGTGGAGCTGTCTTGGAAGCTGCTCCTATATGTTTCTGCATGTGTGAGCAAACATATCCACTTCATTAAAATACCTGTGCATACTGGAAAGATTGTTAGGATAAGTTTTCAAAACAGCTGTGCACAGCTGAAAAAAGATACCGATGGATCAAAAAAGAAGTGTTTCCTATCCATGCCCACATATTGCAAAAACAATATCTGAATTTCTTGCAAAACCCATGTTATGATTTTCTTTGACTAGAAAATTATCTGGCATAGTAGGTGGTAGGAACTGAGTGATGCTTGTCTCTCATATGGTGTTTTCTATGACTTACAATTAGTCTTAGCAAGTATTTCAGCATCAGACCATGGGACCATTCTTGAAGTAATATCCACTGAAGGATATATCTCTCCTCTATATTGTAATAATTGTATTTTCTGACTTTCAATATTTAGAACAGACAGTTTTACACATGAAATATTCACCTAAATGGGAGGGCAAGGAAGAGGAGGGAAGATATTTACCAAGCACATCTGTAGCATTAATAACTCCCAGTTCAATAGGAGTTGCTGCTTTCAGTGTATATGTAGATGGTGTCTGAAGAAGAACACTCATTTCTCCAAAGGATTGGTTTCGATGTAACTGGCCAATGAAAACTTGCCTCATTTGCTTAACCTGTTTAAAAATATAAACCCGAGTAATTTTTTGTTGGTTCATGTCTAAAAATGGGAAGGATTTGGAAGACGAATAGGGATCATTTACAAAATATGCATGTAAACTGCAGACACAATCCATCATTACAATGTTCAGGTTAATGGTATTTCACATGTACCTCAATAAAATCCAAGTTTCATTCAGAGTATGAAAGGCAGTGGTTAGGAGCACAAGTACATTGCCTAGATATATGCCTATGTATAGATATCCAATTTTGATTTATATGCAAGCCTAAAAATCAATAGAATAACAGAATAAGAGTTTGAAGGGACCTTAGAGGTCTTCTAGTCACACTCCCTGCTCAAGCAGGAAACCATATACCATTTTAGACAAATGGTTGCTCAATCTCTTCTTAAAGACCCCCAATGTTGGAGTACCCACAACTTCTCAAGGCACATTGTTCCACTGATTAATTGTGTTCACTGTCAGGCAATTTCTCCTTGGTTCTAGATTGGTTCTCTCTCCTTGATTAGTTTCCATCCATTATTTCCAGGTGCTTTGTAAAACAGATTGACCCCTCTTTTTTGTGGCAGCCTCGCAGATATTGTAACATCCTTATCATGTCACCCCAGTCCTTCTTTCATTAAATTAGAATTCGTATGTTTTAGCCTACAGTCCCCTCATCATCTTTGTTGCTCTTTCCTGCACTCTTTCTAGAGTCTTGACATCTTTTTTAGTTATGGTGACCAAACTGGATGCAATATTCAAAGTCATTATAAACTATATATTATGAAGGTACTAACAAATGATGTGATCTTGATTCTATCTATTAATGCAACATAGGACTACATTGGCTTTTTTAGCAGCTGCCAAAATTTGAAATGATATCAGAATGGAAAGATGAGCAAAGAGAATTAAAGACTACTATCTTGTTCATCATTGTTCATACAATTACAGTCCACTCAGTATTCTCCTCATATTGAAGACTTCAAGCCTTTTCTCCTTGGCATATATAAATATATTAGATATTGAACTAAACTGTTGCTGAGAATTGGGAAACTGTACACACCTCCCTTATCTTTATCCTTGATTAAGCACCCTAATTCCAAAATACCAGAAGACAAGGTCTGGGTTGAATAGATTTTTGAGAGACCCACAATTTATTTTACAGATAATGATAAACCAAGCAGATTGTATTGTGCTTCGTAAGGTGAAGCTTGAGCTCCATATGTTTAGCACAGTCTAATGTTCACATAATCACCAAATGGTGGTCCAAAAATCCATTAGAGAGTTAAAGCTCAAAGAATATATTAATATATCTATCATATGGTCACCAGGCAACAATTGGCAGGTCAATTTCTATTCTCTTATCAGAATAATATTATATATCTGGGCTTTATTTTGTGAGCAGTAACATCATGACTGCATTAACATTTGTTCCTGAATATTTTTCAACACAGGCAATGAAATATAGTTTCACACTTTTAAGCAGTATTCTAAAAATGTTTTTTCGCAATGCTAAGTGTCCATGTGTGAGAGATCTGTATAATTTAGAGCTATAATGAACTTGGTTCATACAAATTAGTACTTCACTGGGGTGTTTCTTCTTTAGGATTTTCATTTTTCAATATGTAACACCTATACTGTTCAATTCATAATTTCACAATACCTTCCCATTTTTTATTCATAAAAAAGCTCCCTACTGAAAAGCTTATTCATAAATTCCCTGTGTGGTCAAAAGAAGAATTTCCTAGAGGAAAATCTTTTTCCTTACCATTTTCTCCAAAGGTCGCTTTACAAGAGCTGGAATTATTCGGTAAGCATTGCAGTGTCCAGACTTAATGAATCCTACGTATTTGCTTATTACTCCTTCTTCCATAAACACTGCAACAATAATAATAACAATAAATTATTTCTCTGTATGCATGCATATAGGTCTCTCCTTCTGTGCATAAAGAGGTTTCCCACCATAATTTGAAACAAGTGAATGGAACAGCTATTGTGTACCATGTTCATGAGAACATGTACATATGGAATATGACTACTACCAAAATGAAATAAGGAGGAAGTGTATAAAATTGTCCCCAGTCCTGGACTACTGTTATTTCTCCCATTTCTGTACTATTGATAGAAACATACTGCAAATTCTTCAGTACGTTTGAAATGCATTCTCTGTACAGTTACTTAGAATACAAGTTTGTGATTTAGGGTTGGATATATCTTTCCCATTTATAAAATTGTTGCTTTGATGGTACAGAACAGAGGAGAGAATCACCCAGGGCTGTCCATGTTAAATAGCCAGAGTTTTGTTTCCAGTGGTTCTAGAAAATCCTATGCCTTTTCAAACAAACTATATAGTCACAATATATAGTTGATATAATATAGGTAATATAAATTGTTGCCTGTTGCTTGTGTATCTCTCTCCCTGCTTTTTCCTTTTATTCTGTTTTTGCCAATTATATGCATTTCTCACTGTTTGATTATATTTAATAACTGTTCCATTTCAGAAGCAGAACATTTGGGAAAGATTTATTTTCTCCTCTGAACCAAGATGATTTGGTAGTACCAAGAGTAGGCCTTAAATTCTCCAGAATAAATCTTCTGGAAGAAAAAGTGGTTTCTGGTTTCAGGGCCAAGCCAAAATCAAAACACCATGACACTCCACTTTGTACATTGCTCTTGATATCAACCTTAACTAAATCAAGTAGGAAGAAAGGGTTGCTTTATGACACAAAAATGCTTAATGAAATGACTACATGAAATAAATCATATATTTGCTATAATGAAAACAGGGAGACAAGCACTATACTGTTTATTACAAAAGTCTACATGGAAACCAAGGGGAAGAAGCCATAGAACATTAGGCAGACTGAGCAGCTGTAAAGAACACAGGCTTCATGGTACAGGAGTAGTGTAAAATCATTGCAGACTTTTATTTGATGTACACATACAAGAGCAAAGCTCTATTGAAGTCACAGAAGCTATGAATCTGATTTTTCTACACCAGCTGGATTGCTCAGCTTGAGTTGGCACCTAACATTTTTCCATGGCTGGAAAAAAAAATAGCAATAATAAATGCAGATGCTTTCCAAATGTAATGTTGCCATTATATGCTCCTTTGTGACTGTTCACTGATGCAAAATGGCTAGGAACTAAAAACCACTCATTATTTAACCTGAATGTATTGGCAACTGACAATAAAATACAGTACTGTAAATACTAAAGTGACATTGAGGCTCAAGTAGATTTTTTTTTTGTAAAGAAATAACTTCATCGGTGATTCTACACTGAACTAACACCATGACTTTCATATAATAGTAGAACACACTCAAATGTTGATGGTAATCTTTAGTAATACACATTTTGAGGAACACATTATTCCCATCTGATAATTATACAAAGAACAGTGTGTTTGCTGTGTGTTATTGAGTTTAACCAAAATCATTTTTTTTCAGATATTATATGTTCTTTTTTATGTTGAATCAGAATTGGAAAGGGGAATGAGGACTAGGAAAGATCTCTCTTAAATTATGGTAAATTTCATTTCATAACTAAAGAGTTCTTATGATGTCACTAGTTCCAGTATGCTGTACAAATATCAGAAACCTATCTTAATAACAAAAACAATCCAGAACCATGTAAAAATGAAGTTGAGATATTCACATATTTTTCATCATTACTTTGAAAATACTAAAAGTAGTTCCTACCATCTAAGTACTACATGATTTGAAAAACTGCCTATTTGTTCAAATAGGCCATAAAACAGACGATAAGGAACATTGGCATCATAGACCTAATTCAGTCCAGCAGGACATGCCCTTTGGTCTACTAATGTCTCCCTGAACTCATTATACAAAGAGCTATGCTTTCTGGGCTATTACCGTGGAATATATGGATAGACTGTTCCTTTGAGGCCTTTTCTTTCCTTCTGAATGTTTTTTAGAATGATACATGTAAGGATTGTATAATAGAGATTTCAATCTTGAACTGATTACTTAATAGTAAAAGCTCTATTGTACTACTATTGTGCTAGCTCTATTGTATTATTCTACTTAATATACACATAAACAGAACAACTTTAACAATAATTAAACTATCTTTTTTAAAAACTTTTTTGGTAAGAAACTGAATCCTGAGAGAATTTTTTAAAAAAGAAACTTTTAAAAGGCAACAGAAGTATAATATATAAATGATGCAGTTGATGTGTTTTTCATATCATATAATACAATGCAAATTTGGAGAAGTAGCCAAATTTGTTTCACAGGACTGAATTGCAGAATTTCCTGTAAGTATATGAACAGAAGGAAGAGGCTTCACTGGGGAAGTATTTGAAGAACCATTGTGATTTGCAAACCATAATTTATGCCTTAACATTTCATTGAAGTCAGCCAGGCAATTATGGTTTACTTAATAAACTCTCCCTAACTCATACCATGTCTTCACTCACTGTAGATCCAGGGCACTGCATATATTGGCTTGAAGACAGTCTAGCCTTTATAAAGTGAAGTGAATTCTTCATTACTAAACAATTTACAATGTATTAAGGAGTTAGTCCCATTTAACAAATTAAGGTTTATTTCACAGCAAGCAGACTCCATAGGAAATATAGGATAGATCATCCTGGAGAAGGTCAATCTATATACACTAAGACTCGACCCCAACTTTTTTTAAAAAAACACAAATTTTATTGATTTTTTAAAGACAAACAAAACATAGGACATAAAGGCATAAAACCTCCTTTCTAAAAATAACTTATAAAGTTTTAACAAGGCAAATAAAACAATTTTTAAGGCATAGTTCCAGATTATCACATTTCCATTTAAGCACATATATATCTTTTCCAAATTTCTCATTATTTCTGCCTTCACTTTTATTCAATTATATTTCTTTCTATCAAGGTTTTATTAATTCTCAATCAAATATAAACATTTATACAGCATAGTTCCAAATTATCACATTTCCATTTAAACACCTATATATCTTTTCCGAATTTCTCATTGTTTCTCCCTTCACTTTTATTCAATTATATTTCTTTCTATCAAGGTTTTATTAATTCTCAATCAAACATAAACACACAAAATACAAAACATAAAACAAGACATAAAAACATAAAACCTCCTTAATTATCATTTGTACATGTCTTTTCCAAATTTCTCATTGTTTCTCCCTTTAGTTTTATTCCTCCAAGTGAAAAGAAGGGAGAAGTTATATAGAAAATACAGAATGGTAAATAAGATAAGAATGGTATACAAGGTGAGCATGAATTTGATTTAGGTCTGTAAAAAAAGATGTAACCCGGGGCTAAGCCACTTTTCAAAAGAAGTTTTATGTTTTATATTTTGTGTTTTGGTTAGCTATGTTTGATTGAGAATTAATAAAACCTTGGAGACTCAACCCCAACTTGATGGCACAAAATCAGTAAATTAAAATTTCAGGTGGAGAAGCCATCTGTATTTTTCCAAGAAATGCCCTCTACAGTTGCAGTCCAATTCTGGGAAAAGACTATTTTTAAGTAGTTGCAGACAGGTGTGGAGAACTAACATCAAATTTCTAAATGCAACTGTCGCATCTTTACAATTTGTAGTGACTAAAAAGGGAACAAAGAATATTATTTATAGGGTTTTAGTCCTTTACTACTCCATCAGTCTTTGTAAGCTGAACCCTGCCACCAATCTTGATTTTATGTCCTGGTTTCAGCTACCCAAATCACAGGTCCTTCAGATTTGGAGGACACATACATCCATAAAGTCTGTAAAAGGGACAGCATGCAACATGGGAAGATATGGAGGAAGTTCACTTAACCAAATCTTATAGTTCAATGTATTATGCAAGCACAGCTCATATCTCTTTGTTCAGCTCTTCTATCAAGGTTGCTTTCAGATAAAATTAACTCTGTGCCAACAGAGGTAGCTGCATATAAACCAAGGTACATTCTAGATATTTGGAAGACATGTGTTTTTGGTTTTTTTTCTGGAGCGAAAACTCAGTGCAAAGTCCTCTATTTATTTATTTATTTTTGAACAAAGGACTGCCTGCTGGGAAATTTAGCGATGAATTTTGTTGGCATGGTGAATGTTGCCACTTATTTAAAGGCTTATGTTCAAACCACAATATGGATGGAGATTGAGAAACACTGATTGCATTTAGAATCATGTTTCAATGTTTCAATAGAAGAGAATATATGTTGCTCAGGATTGACCGGTGGAGTTCTTGGTGCTTTCTAAACTTGGTTTTGGGGTTTGTTGGGTTTTTTTGTAGATGTTTCATTACCAAATTAAGTAACATCATCACTGCGAGTTCATCAGCAAATATGCAGTGATTATGTTACTAAGTTTAGTAACAAAATGCCTGTAAGCAAACAATCAAGCTCAAAAAATGTATTTTCAACAATGGCAGCAGTGTGACAGTTTACTGATTGTTGGCAGCAGTTTACTAGTTCCAGCTACTGTGCAAGTGAAATGAAATAATTACCAGAAATACTTCTTAATCGGTTTCCTCATATTTTTATTTGTTTTTTCCCCGTGGTTTGTTTCTAAAATATTCTTTTATTGTATACTGTGTTCAACAGAATTATATATGATCATTTAGATTGGAACTATCCACCAATTTTAGATACTGTATATACTTGAATGCTCTAACTTTTCTATACCCTGAAGATATGAGAAGTTTCAGTGATACCAAATTATATTCAGAAAAAATTGGTTTGTAATGTGTATGCCTTCAAAAGCACTGGACCTGGACATGGGATTTTGTGAATCACTTACATTTACTTAAGTGATGACTAAGGTTTCTACTGACCCTGTGCACAAGAACAAGTTTCAGGACTTTCAAACTGCATATTCATACATATATATGAGAAGCATCAAAGAAGTCAACAAGTAGAT